GCTCAAAAGTAACAACCCACACGCACAGAGTTTTTGAAAAGTTAATATTCCCAAGCGTCCTCTTTAACTTTCCTGGGTATTCTTTGACTGTTGAACAAACGAGCACTGCAAAGCGGGTCATTAATTTTCGTAGTGACTCTCACCTTCTGTCAGATACGGGAGTGGAGCCTGGACACTGGGCAATAGACTACTTGTATGCTTCATCAGTAGCATGCACCATTACACAGGCAGTCTTCAACAGGATGGAACAGTTCTACGTACAGCTTACTGTCTACCACTGGCTTTGTACAGCCTCATAAAACCAGTTCATATACAGATATGCATTCAGTTAGTGGCCACTTACAGACCCTGAAGGCAATACAATGGTGCATCAGAGTAAACAGTAACATTGCTGCCCCTGATGATGAAGCTACTACATCTACTTGGTCCGTTTTTACATCGTACACTGATCCGATCGGCAACCTAGAAGATGAAAGCGATCCAGGATATACATCACTTGCAAGCATTCTCTCGTGCGGGCCTTTCGATCTAAATGAGACTGGCAAGGAAAGTATTTGGGACCGCGGCGGAAAGCATACGTGAATTTCACGCGAATCACTGGAGTGGGTAACCGAAATACACGCACGGGACGCCGTCCACATCAGAAGTAGGGTTTACAAAGGAAGAACGGTCTCGAAGAAAAGTGCATGCATGAGATCGGACTTGCCCTTACACAGGAGACACAGTAAACCTAAAGTGTAAAAAGACTGAGTGAGCGGCAAAGACACAAACAAAACTACTTCTTCAAGCGAGTTGGTTTGTCGATCTGTGGGTGACAATAAAATGGAGTACATACCTGATTTTCCTCGGGAAGCGGATTGAGCGGTTGATGTGAATTGGGCTGTATCATATCTTGCTGACTGAAATAGGAGTAGATCGATTCCCCATCCGTAGGTCCGAATCCATGGGGTCTGAGAGGAAAAGAGTAGGGAAGTTTGACGGGAATTAACGCGGGGGAACCGTAAGTTGCGATGACACATGGATCAGTAGTTATGTTACGTGTGATCAGGTGACAATGGGGGCCAAAATATCGGTTCACTTTATTGGGACTGGTTGTGAATCTGGTTGCGTGCATCTGGATCTGGCTGAATGCATCTTACAATCAGTCATGCTGAAGAGAGATCTTGGAGATACCGTTCTTTATTCCAAACCCTTCCCAAGAAGGCTCATAGAAGGCGCATGGTAGATACTGAGTAGGCATTCGTGACACGTGTCACAACCAACTCAACCGGTGTAGTGACACATGAAAGGTGAAGTTCTCAGCACCGTACATTTTTTGACTCACTGAGTGAGTGCTGGTTCGTTGTTGTCACCAGCCACGTGCAATGGCGCACATGTCGCAGTTTTCAAGCATACAGAGTTGACGAAATCGACGTTTCAAATCCATCTTATGTAACGAGAAGATTGGTTACTCGATGACCCTGGCAGTATCTCAGCCATCATGTTTTTTGAGTGGCATGGCAGCTGTGCACCGAAAAGGTGTTACTTCTCAAACTTGGGGACTGCGCCTACTTGATGAGCCCCAAGAAGGATGAAACCAGCCGTGAGTTGTTGAAGAGTTTTCAGTAGTAGTGTTTTACGTCCACGCAGTGCTCGATAATCCGTTTATCGTCAAACAGATTATCGGCAAATCGACTTAAATATGGGTGAAACCCGCACCCAAGTACCAGTTGCTATTAGATGTTGGGTGCCATATTCCGGATGAGTGGTGAACCTGTGTCGAGATCCTGGTTCTCACTGGAAAGTCGAAATTCAGCTTCTGAGTATTCGTTCGACTGTTACTGCTCTGTCAGGCCGCAATGTGACAATGCACCTTGGAGACAGGAGCTCTGAACCTAACACGGCTGCGCATCAGCCTACTGGGTGCCCATTATCCGCACAATGCTTTCAGCTGCAAAACTTTTACGAGTGGAGTAAAACCTATTGCGTCAAAATGTTGCATTTTGTTGCGTATGTGCTCAAACCAAAAACTGTCCTAATCTACGTTCATATTTTTGCAGCTCACCAAGTTTCAGTGTTCACTGGCTGAAAAGTCTTGTGGAATAATTTCCCGGCATCGCGGAGACCCTGAGATGCCTAAATGTGGCTTAAAAGTTTGGACTGGCACTCTCAACCCAATTGCCCGATTGCTTTGGTCCATCGGGGACACGTCATAAATTTCGAAAGTTCGACTCCATTGTGCGAATACTGTGTGCGCAGCGGAACAATCGTGTGGTGAAACAGTGCCGTATGAGCACACCCACGCGTCTGAATCACGTCCGACTTCACCATGTGCCGGAGCAAGGTAGAAAAGGTGCACATGCATTTCACGCCCACCTGATGTCCAAGGCAACATGCACACTCTGAACTCAAGCGCACAGACGGTCATCTATGACTAACCGTGGACGAAGAAAACAACGGCTCGAGAACCGGTGAGGGTGTACAGGAGACACACTGGTTGGTTGGGAACAGATCGACCACCAAGAACGGTCACAAGTGAATGATATAAATAGAACGCTGTATTTGCATTAGTACACAGTTTTTTCTGGTCGCCTTCTTGTCTTCTGACTGTAACCCCGGTAGCATCAGGGAAGGTGACAAGATACAACAGAACCAATGCCTATTCGAGGCTTGGCCAGTCAGCTGTATTGAATACCTTCGGATAGGCCGAATTGGAATCAAAGGCCTCCGTTTCTAATCCTGTGGAAACTCATTCACGTTGCTCCGGCCCTAGCCCAAAAAGATGGAACGGTGCGCAATGTGGTATAGTAGACATTAATCTTCGGAGAACGGCGAATATAATAGTGTCCCTATACATACTGCAGACCAGCAGTCCTGAAATCCGCGATTTTCTGTGAGACTTCATTCCCAAGGTTTTCGATGGCAGTTATGCAACTCCATTTTGGCGACATCAGGCAAGTTACCGCCCTAAAAGAGTCCTAAAAAGTCCTGTTGATTGTAAACCGAGGCGCTGAAGGGCCAGTCAAAAAGGAGCAAGGTGACTGTGTCCCCATTGGGGAAATCCTTGGATGGGATAATATGAAAACAAAACTTCTATGCTTTACTCACGACCTTCCACAAACGGCTACTTACGGTCTCTACTGGGGTCGATTCATGAGCTGGTCAATTCAATCACTTCGATGTGTCCCTCGATCTCGCCTGCTGTGACTGCCCGGGGCGAGATTGTTGTGGTTAGAGCACGAATTTACAAGGTTCGTGGTTCGAATCCGACCTCTGCCTCTCGACTTCCCCCATCTAAGCTTGGGCAACCTGGCATTACCCCAGCCCTTGTGCTTCCTTAGGGTGGCATGGCACCGAACGATTAGCTTTACCGGACACATACGACGGAATCAATCCCCAATATCTCACATAAACACCTGGATAGCAACCTACTTTAATGGATTACATCACCTCTATGTGCTCATCTAACCCCTAAGCGTTCGAGTACAATGTGGTGTTTTTTTCACCAGACCAGATCATACCGCGCTATCCGTTGAACAAGCTGATTGACTCCTTGAACAGTTCAGATTTGTTATGCCAACGAAAGTCACGGGTACTGGGCAAGCAAAATGCAAGAGTCAGTCAATCCGTGAAACAAACACGGGTGCATGGGACGGCCGACTGGAGGAAGAACGCGCAAACAAACAGAATCGATTGAACTGCCGCCATAAAGCATGGCGATGAGCGCACGTGCGTCGTGCGTGCGTACGTGATATGGGGCGACGCTGCTGCATGCAACGGTGATTCATCCGTGACGTGGCAGAAGGGAGAAAACATCGCAGTCGCACACCAACACACCAGAGAAGATGTGCACCGGTGCGTGAAGGACAAGGTCCACGCGCGTGCACGCAAAAGCTGGCATTGCGAGCGCAAAATCCCAACACAAGCTGGTAACCAGACGACGACTACGGAACAGCAGCAGCAGACGAAATTACATCTACATCGGGTACCAAGATAATTAATTATAGAAGTCTATTCTGGTTGGACGTTTTACACCGACACTCGTCTGGCAATAACCACGAAGCCGGGGGATTTGTGGGTGGTGAAACTTTGTGTAGCGAGCCACGCGAGTTACTGAATTACGCACAGTGGAATAGGTGTGGTTTCTCACAACTGGCATGAGTCCAGCAGGAACGTAAACAGCATCCAGAATAATGCGCAAATGAGAGTTTGTGGGCAGGGGGGATTATGTGGCCACTTTGTGTCTCTAGTGACAAGTCTGTAATTTGATTTTAGGAACTTCAAACTAAGTCGGCAACCAGATAATCCAGATATGCAATAAATACTCCCGAAAATTCGGAGGACACAACCACACCGGAAATAATAATTTTTCTTGTGAGAATCATACTACTCACCTTTCATGGACTAGAAATCGAAAAGATCGAATTTTGCCCCAAAGCTGTCTATAGCTGAGCGTACTCTCCCAGCTAGACCCCGGCTCCTCAACAGGGACTTGATTGTTTGCTTCTCAAAAGATGCGTGACCGCTCAAGATGCCATCCACAACCACAGTACTGTCTCATGATACTGTTCCAGCACGAATCCGCAATCGTGAAAGGAGAACCAATTTCGCCGTGGACTCAAACACAGTAGGATTAGACACAGTCCGTTTGCCCAGAACCGCCCAGTGCTTAGGAAAATTCCGAAGCGGTTACCCTGTAGAACGCACTTTCTACTTAAACCAGTTTATCGCGAACAATGAGCCGGGAGGGTGCAAAATGCTGTGGAGAACACTTGGAAGAAAACTAGTGAAAACACTCTCCTGATCTAAAAGCACGATGACCTTTATAAGTTACGACTGAAACATGTTGTCCGGGTGCACTGTTGACCGAATTTCGTTCGACTGCATAAATCACTCATCCTACGAAATAAACAACTATTCGCATAAACCTGCTTTGCTAAAAAAACTGTGGACCTTATGGATACGATCTGATTCCGGTCTGCCAGAGGGCCAACAAGTGACCATGTTATTACGAAACACCAGCCACCGATTGGTGCAGTATTGTGGTTGTGCGCATTATCGCATTATTGTCATGAAACATCATAGGTCCCAGACGGTTTTCAGGGATCAAAAGAGGCCGAAATCTACTCTCACTGTCTTGATTCACGAATCGGCTATCTACTTTCCTGTCAGAAACGCCAGTTGAGTTGTCCCGTCTGTGAAAACCTCGATTCAAACAATCACGTGACCAGCAATGCGAACTTCGCGACGGAGGCCCATGTCTTCTTTTCGAGCACACTTTTCCATCTCGGCTATCTACAGCAGGCCTTCTCCCATCAATAAAGACCATATCATTCCATTCCAGGTGATGTGGTTCACGACTATATATTCTTCCTTCAATATGATCATAGTTGCAACAGTTGGATTATTGACTGAGGGAACTCTGAAGATATGGTCCTCCAACGGTTTGGACGCACATCCACGCAGAACAGATATCCAGAACCGTTCGTACTCAAAACTACACAATTTGTAAAAGCCAATTGGAAGAAGCCCGCCTAATTAAGTTC